AAATTATTATTAATTTATTTGATTTTGTTGAATTAATCGTAATAAACCTTAACATTATGAAACAATCTCAAATACAATTAGATTATTAAGTGTTATTATTTATTATTAATAACAATTTAAAAGTCACTGCGCTCCGGAATAATTTAAATATGTTATTGTAGACATTTTCGATATAGTCCAGATTCTGATACAGTCGGGATTATGGTTGTCAAGATTCTGATACAGTCGGGCTTGTGATTGTCAAGATTCTGATACAGTCGAGATTATGATTGTCAGCATTCTGATATAGTCGGGATTATGATTGTCAGGATTCTGATACAATACGGCATATGGTTGTCAAAATACTGATATAGTCGGCATATGGTTATCAAGATTCTGATACAGTCGGGATTATGGTTGTCGAGATTCTGATACAGTTAAAAGTTGGGAATTTGATTGACGGTATTTCGGTTGTCGGGCTTGCGATTGCCACCGAATTGACATACGTCACTATAAATCGAATTCTGTAACTAAATCTTCTAGGTTTTCATTTTAGTATTTTATATTATTTACATAGAAGTCTTTACACCTCCCAATTATAATATCATTACTAGGTGTTAGCTGAGGAAACTGTAAATTGTGCAATTTTCAGGACTATGATTTTAAAAATTCCCTTGGACCAGAAATCATGAATATTCAAGGCTAAACCCTTTTCAGAATTCATGCCTCTCTCTCTCTTTCTATAGCAGGGTGTAGGGCATATCAGTTTCTTGGCGATCCAATGGGGTTCGGTTATAAATTTTAAAGATTTCGCCGCCGTCACTACCGCAGCAGTTCGGCTCGCGTGAATAATTAAAATGTCCGAGGTTGCATTCGTCCGCCCTCCTGGGCCCAGCCCAGTCGTAAAAGTGAGGGTTCGAGGTAAGAGAGGATCCCGATCATCGCCGACGCCCAACGCCGCCACCGTTTTCGACGACGACGACGACGACGCCTGATTACGTCACGTCTCCGTGGCAACGGGCAGCCGCGTGACGTAACGGACCGGCGCGGGGATTCCCCTTTCCCCACCCTTCGTCGAGGAGCTTTAATGGATCAGATTTTTTTTCCTGCGCTCACCCGGTTTAGAGAATCCTGCACCCCTTTTGGCTCCAAACACACACTCGACCATACAAAACCGAAATGTTAAAGAGCAGAAAAAAAAACAGACAGCAACGACAACAATAAATGACACGTACAATTAAAGTAATGCATCTCAATATGTATATGTGTGTTTGCTGAAATCTGTACTTAGTTTGATTTGAACTACATAGTTAGAAATTATCATCAACTCATGATTGTAACAAGAAACAAAACTTCAATTTTCAGGTATGAAAACATTAATTTTCAATTATTGAAACAACTGATTGAATCTGACATTTCAATGTTTAATATTTCAATTATATACTCGCATTGGTAATGATAGGTTTTCCATTTATTTCCGACTATTTATCTTTACGTTGTTGCTCGTTTTTTTAGTTTCCAGAAACTATTACATTCAATTTGCTTTTGAAAAACAGACATCGAAGAGTGGATGAGGAAAGGGCGTTTCAGTTGTAAATGGTTTTCGAGATTGTTCATTAAAACTGAAACTCCTGGAGGGCACTTCTCCAAGACCCTTCAAACGCAACCAATCCGTGCGGATAGTTTAAAGACGCGGAAGCCTCCTAGATGATACACCTAAACTTTTCCCGTTGATTAGCGCCCGTCCGAGCGGAAGGAAAAAAAGAGCGAAGAAGGCTGCGGAAAGTTGAGAAATGTTTATTTTCGCTTCTCGCAGCATTTGCAAAACTTTCCGCGCCAACTTTTATTAAAAAGAAGCCAGAACGCCTTATGTATGTGTGTGTATATGTATAGTTTAGAAATATATAGATGTATAATATGAAATGGGTGGAAAGGAAAGGAAAAAAAGTATAAGAAGTGGAGCAAGTATAAGAAGTAGAAGGCGACGTACATGGATGGAGCAGGGTGGGGCAAAAGTTTTTCCTTCGTCCTGCGCCGCCTCCGATCCTGCTGCCGCCGCCGCCGCCCGTCTAGACGCACGAAAGGGATTTTTAAATACACAAAAGAACTTCCACAATGCAAACTCGCTTCCGCTTCCGGCCCCATTTTATTTTTATATTTATTTTATTTTTTTTTTTGTCATAGATCCAATTTCTACAACAAACATTCGCGGCCGTACAGATGACGAAGAAACACGCAGATTAAAAGGAAGAAAGAAACGCCGCATTCATAAATACCACAAACGAACGTCCGTTGAAAAAAAGTAAAACATATTTTAATGATTTTCTTTATGCAATTAAACATTTTCAGATCCAAATATATTGCATTCATTTAAATTCTACATCCCTTTGATGTATAAAACTTTGTTTGTTTGTTTTGAAACAAATGCTTCAATTATTTCTGATTTAGTATACTCGATTCATGCAAAACGTAAAGATCCTTCAATTGTTTCAAACTGCAATTGTTTCTTAGTTAGAAAGTTGAAGTTTGTTTTTAAGTTTTTGACGGAAATCAAAGTTCAAATTTAGTGCGCGCTGCGATAGAAAACATGACTCCGACACGGCATGCGGGTAAAGAAAATCGCATGTAAAGTCAAGTTTAAACACGGAATAATCGCATGCACCGATAACGGATAGGGAACAAAACTGAATAAAGGAGAAGGAAGTAAATATCGCATGCTGCACCGGAATCCAAAAAAATTCGCAACACGTTGAACGCTCACGACGCATCGCCGGTTGCCGCACTCGCAAATCATCATTATCTAATTAAATTTTACGTAATTAGTCGAAGGTGCAGTCGAATTGAAAACGCTTACGTAAATCCAATCGCAATTGAATGCTCACTTTTCTCTAAACAATTGTTTTTTTTTTAATTTTGAAAGAAAGAAAATAAAGAATGTTTCCCGCCATTTGATGGAAGAAATGTCAGAGCGGCGAAAACAAACTAACCAACAAAACAAAAACAACTCGTCAACTTCACAACTTTTCACAATTTAGCAATTTTTTTTTTCGGATTACTTTTTGAAGTCGGTCTTTAAAATTTCTCGGAGTGGATGATGTCTCAGAGGACGATACACAGCTGCGTCACGAACATGAACATGGAGACGATACAGTGCGAAGCGTACGCAGGTAAATTGGGTCCTAAAATGGATAAGGGCAAGGGGGCTCCTGCGGGGCACAAGGCGCCACCTAACAGGATCATCAGGGAGTGCAGCACGCCTACTACGTATAAGACAACATCGATGGCTTCCGGTAGGATGAAGCAGGTCAGGGTGGAGACTTCTAAACCGGAGAAGCCAAAGACTGCACCGAAGATGAGGGCCAACAGCATTATCGCTCAAGGGCCCACCTGGTCGAAGATACTGAAACCGCAGGCGAGCAAGGAAAATATATGCACATTCACAAACTTCAATCCATTGCGTACCATACACTTTTTGACAAATGAGTTGGGGAGTCAGCTGAGAGAAGAATTACCACGTAAGTCTACCACTTCTTTGTCAAATCTTTTATCAAATCCAACGTGATTGATTTCTTTAAATGAATTTCAAAGTGTTTAAAGTTTAATCAGAATCAATCATTTTTATTAGTTCTTTGAAAATTGTTAAAAATAGAGAATTTTCTTTAGATAATAAGAACATACATCATATGATTATGGAAATGCAACAAGCTCTATGTAGGATACCAGAAGAAGTGACAGCGGCTTTGCAGGATTCGCGTGTAAGCGGTAAACATCGGATGGAAATGAAGCCGACGAAGTTGGGAGAGAGAGATCCCTTTCAGGTGAATATGATTATATTTTTGAGTGTAAATTGACTGTTCTTCTTTGGTTTACAGAATGTATATACCAGTGTAAAGCCTATAACCAGTTGCATTGCTACACAAACGCTGCCCACGCTGTATTTAGAGCCGGATAAGGTGCATAAACACCTGGAGAGTAGTACGGTGAAGATCGAGCATGCTTGCAACCAAATGGAAAGCATGTGCACTAAAGTCAAGGCTGAGAAGATGGAGTTGGAGTCTTTGCTGATGAGGGAAAAGGAGACCACCAAGTTGTACCAGAAGCAGTTGGAGGAGTACAAGCTGAAGTACACAACTGGAAATGCTTTGATCGAGAGTCTTCAGAAGAAAATCGATGAATACGAGAGGGAGATCAAGAAGTTGAGGCTGCAGATGGAGTCGTACCAAGGACCAACGTCGCAGGAGCTGAAATCGCTCATCAAGCAGCTGCAGGATGAGAAGAACACCGTGCTGATAGAGAGTCAGGAACTCAAGCAGAAGATCGCCCTCGCGCAAATGGATTGCGATAAGTACAGGGCGATTCTGCAGGCGAGGGACGCCCAGGTCAAGGAGATCCGCAACGAGATGACGCAGCTGCAGGAGGTCGTTAATGAGCAGCTGATGGAGCTGCAGAACAATGCGTACACCTCGGAGGCGTCCAGCTACAGCAACACAACATGTATAAATGAAGATGAAGTTTTAGTTTAACCTTATTCTATTGTAATCGCAATTGCAGGTTCTCCATCGTCGACGTGGAAGAACGAGAAGACAGAGTTGGGAGTGTGTGTTGATGGTGGCGGCGGCGGCAACAACACGTTATCCTCTATAAATAGTGCAGACTCGGTCGCACACCACAACTCTTTGTACAACAGCCCCAAGCAGATATCGCACTTAATCGAGCTGAACTCGGGCGACACAACGGCCACATCCGATCTGACGCACGAGTTTCACAACGTTAAACCCAGCGAGAAGCCGACCAAAAAACGAAACGTACGTACGAGATAATAGAATTTATCAATTAAATATACAAACATTATTGAATTGTAGGAGAAATTGAAGGTTGCTCCGCCCGTGGGAGCACAAACTTTGTCCGTGAATTTCCGCGAAAAGTTCGCCAAGATCAAGATGGATGCGCTGGGCTGCGATCCGAGGAAGGCCGAAAAGTAGATAATATAATAATTCAAAAATAAAAAGAAACGTAATCATAGTTCGGTTCGCACGAGTGATGTATTAAACACTGTAAATATCGCACAGAAAATTGCGAACAAGAACGTGATTCCCAATGCAAAATTAGTGCCATAAATAAATTTGAGAGAGAGAAAGAAAAAAGAAGAAAAAGTATCGACTTATGTTCGCAACAAAATATGAATTAATGTGATGAATCTAAATAATTATAATGATTTTGACTGATTTAAAAGAAATTTGTCATCATTTGAGACTTTGTATATTTATTTATTTGTATTATTATTATTTTTTTTTTACTTTTAATAAATATAATTTTATATATAAATGAATTATTTAGTTATTAGATAATAGTGATTAGTGTTAAGGTTTTTGGGTCGCCATGGTAACTTTTAGTATAAATAATCCTGTGAAGGTCTCCAGTTTCTTATTGAAATATCTAATTATCCTGTGTAGTTATTATAAAATTAATGAAAACTTGGAAACGCTCCTTTTCTACGACACTTTTAACAGCATACAAACGTATAACAACAGCTTTATAGTTGTGTAACAAAAGTTGTGTAACTTTTGAGTAATTAAGTAAAAATCTCATAGCAGACGAACTGTCAGTGGGCTCGTTGGAAAAGTGCAGACTCGGTCGCACACCACAACTCTTTGTACAACAGCCCCAAGCAGATATCGCACTTAATCGAGCTGAACTCGGGCGACACAACGGCCACATCCGATCTGACGCACGAGTTTCACAACGTTAAACCCAGCGAGAAGCCGACCAAAAAACGAAACGTACGTACGAGATAATAGAATTTATCAATTAAATATACAAACATTATTGAATTGTAGGAGAAATTGAAGGTTGCTCCGCCCGTGGGAGCACAAACTTTGTCCGTGAATTTCCGCGAAAAGTTCGCCAAGATCAAGATGGATGCGCTGGGCTGCGATCCGAGGAAGGCCGAAAAGTAGATAATATAATAATTAAAAATAAAAAGAAACGTAATCATAGTTCGGTTGCACGAGTGATGTATTAAACACTGTAAATTCCGAACAAGAACGTGATTCCCAATGCAAAATTAGTGCCATAAATAAATTTGAGAGAGAGAAAGAAAAAAGAAGAAAAAGTATCGACTATGTATGTTCGCAACAAAATATGAATTAATGTGATGAATCTAAATAATTATAATGATTCTGACTGATTTAAAAGAGAAATTTGTCATCATTTGAGACTTTGTATATTTATTTATTTGTATTATTATTATTTTTTTTTACTTTTAATAAATATAATTTTATATATAAATGAATTATTTAGTTATTAGATAATAGTGATTAGTGTTAAGGTTTT